ATGATAGTATACAAATATCAACATAATAATTTTAACTGGACGACGATTTACACTGGATTCATTAATAGCAACATCTAATAAAATCAACATTCATTTAAACCAATGAAAGAGCTTTATAGTCATAATAGTTTTCATGTAGTTATTCCATTTCATCATCTTCTTCGACAATTTCATCATTGATTGATAAGAAAACCATATTTTCCAATTATTGAGGTGCTAATGCTGTGACAAGTATGCTGTGTGAATTGCTCACAACTAATGGGTAAGTAAACAGTAAGTAATGAAAGAGGAAAATATGCGTACTTCGTTTTTTGGTAGTTTATCTATGCTTGATGTTGATAAACTGTAAATATAAACCAATGAGCAAATGTAAAGCTTCGTGTGCAACCACTTGACTTCCTGTGACATTTTTCTTTGTGTATGAGTTAACTATAAGTAAAGCTGTTCTGTTTAGGGATAAGTTTAAAGTAACTCCAAATTGCAAAAGATTACAAGATCTACTTGAACTAAATAGATAGATGACACTCTAAGTATGGACCCCTCTGTAATTGAAGAAAGAAAACAGAAACTCTGGAAACTTTTGGTTTTTAAAGAAGTTAGAATTCTAGTAGAACAGTTGTGTTTGTATACTAACCACTCTGATCTTGGGAAGTATGATAAAAATAGCAATGACTAAAGCAGAACTAACCATTCAGATACCATTAAATGTTAGTGGTATCATATGTGAACTCCAAAATAGTTACCGAAAACAAAGTTAGAAGTTCGCACAACCACAACCCAAAATTTGAATTTCCAGTGATTTAACTGCGAAAGTATCATCGTGATACAGTTGTATTAACTCCACTGAATGAATACTACAATTCATTATGAATAAAATATCATTCAGAGATCTAAATGGAAAATAAAGAAGCTTTAAAAATTTGTCTCTTTATTTATCAACCTCCTCTTATTGAACACATCACTATTCACTAAATGACTAGTTTCAGAATAAATCTTTTTTCACATTTTTAATGAAGATTGATACTTGTTGGTGATACCAGATGATGATAATTATACTTTAGAGAAAATGATCCATTATATTGAACAATGATGTGATTATTTCTTAAAATAATGTACATTATTGTAAGTTTCAAACTGGATTAAAAAGCATCTTTATTATGATTTTATATTGTTCATTATGATTTTGTAAAGTATTCCCAATCTAGAATAGAAAATTATTTTTAAATTAAACCAATTTATTTAATCTATCTTACCTAATTATACTCCATTTTCTTTGTTAGATACAATTCATGAACCAAATATTATCATAGAACAAGATGATAAGGATTTTTATCTTTCATCGCCGTTATATCCAATTTTACTTAATAAATCAAATAATAATACTAATCATTATCAAAGTAATTTATCATCATTTGAAGATATATTCGATTGTGTTTTTTCAAAATTTTTCTCTTCATGGACTCAAATGAAAGCTGTTCCAGAAGATTTGATTGCAGTAGGTTTTCACTTATTTACTGTTGGTTTTTCACCGTTTATATTCAGTATACTTATATTCAGTATTTCTGTCAGTTTACGATATACAGAGATCCTTTTGTATACAGAAGTAATTTCTGAATTTTGTTTTGATTAATTCTGTCTGGTTTGAAGTTTATGAAGACATGCACCTGGCTGGAATGAAACAGCTGTCCAGTGCTTCCAGGTTTTCAATGATATATATTTATATATAAAAGGTAGTTCTCTACTTGATGAATGTAAGAAAGATAAATAAAAGAATGAATATGTTCTAAAAAATAACTTACAAAATAAGTTGAGATGATGATGTTAGTGCCATAATGAATTAGGGACTTGGATGTACTTTTGTGATCAGCTGATCTAACTCAGATTTGGATGAACGTATGAATATGCCATGAACATAAATCTTCCATTCATCTCCGTATTCTGTAGTGTCGGTTGCTGTGTCAAGCCTGCATAGCTTATTCTAGCTTCTTGACAGGCCAATTTATTCATTCTTCTTGAGTCATATTTTGACCTTGTTAATTATTCGCTTGTCAACTTGACTGTTCTTACATAAGCATATGTGCATTTCTTATCTTACTCATTACATGTCCGTAACTTATTTTTGTCTAGCTATAAATATTAAGTAGCTCATAATTAAAGGGAGTTGTCTCACTCACCGTCTCCACCGCGCGTTAGTTTGTTTTGCTTCGCTTTCTGATCAAGCATTGTACGAAATAAACGTATTCAAAAACCCATTCTCGTATTTGACTTATTTAATTCCTTTATTCACTAACACGAGTAAGTCGTTATTTATATGTGGAGATTGGCGACATGTATATTCCGATAGCAATCAGCAAATGATATAATTGAAGTCAGATAACAGGATCACTAAAATACTACCTAGGTTAACTTCATATGTGTGACACCGGTAATAAGAAGCCAAATACGAGTTACTTTGAAGGGATTAATTTTAAGCATTCGTTATTCAGACAGACATTCATAGTAGGAAGTGGAAAAGGCGAGTGAGCCAACTCGATTTGATCAAGCGTGACTCATTTATTTTCAGACCAAAATAAGTTACAGATACGTAATGAATAGTAACAGCCCATACTGTGGGAAAGAACAAACCAACATCCAACTGAAGAGAAAATTAAGGAGAGATGTTGGAAGTGGATAGGATACACATTGACAGAATCATCAAGCTGCATCACGAGGCAAGCACTAACCTGGAATCCTGAAGGGAAACGGAAAAGAGAAAGGTCAAAGAACACACTGCGTTAAAAATTGGAAGCAGACATGAAAAGGATGAATATCAACTGGAAGGGATTGCCCAGGACAACGTTGGGTGGAGAATGCTGGTGAGTGATCTATGCTCCTCCATGAGGTGTAACAGGAGTAAGCAAGTAAGTAAGTAACGTAATCGATGGAGTGAATAATTAACACATACTGTCATATGAAAACAGACAGGGTTAATAAGCGACTAATTAACAAGGTCAAAATGTGGCTCAAAAAGAATGGATAAATTGGTCTGTCCAGAGGCTAGAATAACACATGTGAGCTTGACATAGTGTAGTGAACAAGAACATGAGTGCGGACAATCGGATGTATTGGAGAACAAATTACAGAGCATCTCACTAAAATCTGAGAACTATATAGTAAATAGTTGCTTTGTAAAATATCAATCCATCGTCTCAAACTTGACTGTTACCTTTTGTAAATATAAGTCCATTGCCTCGGATTTCATTGTTCATGCATTTTCATACCAATTGCGTTCCATTCCCGTTCTTTCCTTATCGCCCTTCTACTGAAATACATTCTCTGCCTGACCACCGTTCTATACTGCTTATGTGGATATAAGTAACCCACACCACAATAGTACCAAACACTATAGTACCTCTTTTGAACTTAAAAAGTAAACTTTGTTAACACATGTTCATCTCTTCTTTTTCCCTTTTTTGTTTGCCAAATTTTCATAGCTATCTTTTCTATATATTTTTTTTCCATTCTTATAACTGTTTGACTATTACTTGAATTGAAATTCTTCTGATTCACTTTTGGTATTTTTTTACTGACCCACCATTTTCCTATTTTGCTATATAGACTACTATGTGTAAAAGTAACTAAGACTAAAAATGGTACGACTTTAGTAAATGACAATGTCAAAAAAGAAAATTTCTTCGTTGAACTCTCGTTGATTTGTTTAGTAACACAATACTTTTCTTTTGTTCCAATGTTCTTATACTAATGTTATATATACAAATATAGAAACGATTGTTTATTGTAAGTAGCAATGTTAACTGGACACTTTTTCAAGAAAGGAATAAAAATACATACACTTAATGGATTACAACAACTCAAGACGTTAAGTATGTATTATTGTATGTTCTTATACCCTGAATATGAAATACAATTTGATGAATATTATTGGTGTAAGTGTTCGTGAAGTTTGCCGAATTTCGTTGTTTACGTCATGAACTAACCTTATTTAGGCAACGACTGAGAACCGAGAAGCATATGCCACGAGACCTAAATATCCGATGCTCGACTCCCAGTAGAGTTTTAGATGCTCGTTGCTGTGGTGTCTCATCCTATCACGAAACAGCTCTCCGTTGCTCCCTGATTTTGAATGATTGTCAAACTAAATCAGTCTGTGTAGTAAACTATTTACCAGTATTAGTTTTGGATTAGATAGCTCTTCGAAAGAGAATCGGTTTTGAAACAGAAATACATACCAATAAATATTTTCATAGACCTTATTTGCCAACTAAGAAAGTCATTAAAATACTTTTCTCAAGTTTATATTCAGTATCATCCGTAAGATTGTTTTTGGCGTCTCATATGATCAACTCTCAGTATTTAATTCCATCATAAAATTGAAGAATGATATAAACATCATTTTAGTTTCCATTCATACATGCATGGTGTAACAATTATGGGAGTAGATTTTATTTAGCATGTCTACCTATATTTTCAGTTAGTCTGTTTATCTATCTTAATGGATATTTGTTTGCGTGTATTGTGATAGACGATGCTAATCGATCCGCGATCCAAGTTATAAAAAGAGTTATTTACACCCACTCATCATACTCTTGTTGACATTGTGTACAGACATAATACATCTAGACATGTGAATTTATCTGAGAGACAAAAACAGTATTCAAAGTACGATGGGTAACTAGTTTACATATGGTGACTTTTGATTTTGCTTGTAAAATGATGGTAAACACGTCTATTCGAGATTAGATAATAAACAAAGTAGGTGAATGTAAGTTATTATCGTTTATTTGTTTTTCTAAGAAATTTTTGAGTTTTTCTCTCCTAAGAAAAACAGAACGGTGGAATTTCAGAACATAGTTACTGTATTTTAATCTTTTTGCTTTAATATAAACGTTTAGTTATGATATACTGCAAGATATATTGAAACATACGTTCCTAATATAAAACGCTTGGGATTTAAAGGCATAAATTTTACTTTTTTTAGGGGTGGACAACTGAAGTCCAAATGATAATCGCATATATATATATATATATATATATATATATATATATATATATATATATATATTGCGGTATAGACTATACACGTAAATCAGGTGCACAATTAAGTGTTACTATTATTTTTGTTATTATTACTATCAGTGCCAATGACCTTGTATGATATTAGATTTTTAGGACACCCTAGAGAATTCTAAGAACAGAAAAACGTTTTTCAACAAGGTCATCATAATATCTATATTTTAAATGCGAAATTACCTTGACCTGAAGATAGGTTCCTGTTCATCCCTGGCCTTTGAAAATATTTCTTCATCACATAATAAGGGTCTTTTTTAGAACATTTGTATTTGGTTTCATCCAGTCATCATCAACATGGAGCCTGGCACAGATGTGCGTTGTCTTAAATGTTTATACGTCCACGTTTGGATTCAAACCAACTTCCTTTCGTTTTAAAATTCAGTGTATTATCCGATGAGCTTCCAAGTTGATATAACCACTAACTTCGTTAACGGGGTCAATGCTTATATCACTATCAATATGAATTTTTTCCTAGGAAGCAATAAGAGTATTAAAATGAATAATTAATTGAGCTAAAAGCGTTTAATTTCCAATTGGAAGGAAATTTCCTCAAGATTAATTGCCTTAAAGAGGAGATCAAACTACGCCATTAAATGATAGTGACATTCATTATTAGAGGCTGGATATTTTCCCGTCTCCCATTAATATATACATATCATACGTATCTTGATTTTTTCGACATCAATATTTTGACAGGTAACATTGATTAACTAAGTCAGTTCATCAATAAGTTAGCACGATGAAAAGAAGGATTTACTCAAATAAACTCATTTGAATATCAATTCTACCATCGTAAGACCAACTGACTTACAGTAAGATGAATCAACTTTTAGACCATTTATTGATTCATGTTACAAAAATTTGACAACTGTAATATTTGGGTACTAATAACTTGTTGACGTCCCAGATAACTTCTAGAAATCTACAGCTCTACGACTTTTGAATTCTAAACAAATAAAAACGATGTCCGTCTAAATATAGAAATCAAATGGTTATTTATGCAATTAAAAGCGATCATAGAGCTTTGTAAACTTAGAGAAATATATCAATCGATAAAGTATCTCTACATTTTTGATTTCTTTCCCCGAGTTTTCTCAGATTTACTTTCTATCACAAACAGGTATGTTCTTTAAAAAAAGTGGTTGAATTTCTTGTCTTTTTTCATTTGAAAGATACATAGTTCATGTTATTTAGGCATATGACAAATTAGCAATTAAATGTTGACTTATATGTTGTGCTTGTGGATTACTCTGAATGATTGAGCATCACTTATATTGATATTTTGACTATATCAACTTGTCTATAGTCCGCTGAACACAAATGGAAAGATCGTTTGGTTTCAGTTATAAACTCTATTCATCTGTGGTTTAGAGGTGGAAAAAAATTGTCTATAGTTTTAAGTAGCTTTTGTTCAACTATTTAGGCTTATTAAATATGACGAGGAGTTTCTGTTCTCTCAATTCCATTTAGAAACATGACGTTCATAAGCTCTTGCATTGTATTATATCAACAAAATAAGTCGTTTTAAGTTCAGTACACAACTTATCATAAAGGGAGCACGTGTGGTCAATTATGCATAGATACATCTAGCGAAATGAAATTTTGGTTTAAAAATAAATATTTCATAATCTGTACAGATGATGAATTAATAAAGTTTGATTTCGAATAGTATAGTTTAAATAATTTTGACTGATCTATGATTTGTGACTCGTATCGTGTTTGTTTAATCCTTTTTGGCTCAGATAGTGCTTATCAATCAAGTTGCAATATGGCTACTAGCCTAAGGGACTCACCATTGCTTGCACTATGTTTTGATGTTTAGTGGTTGAAAGTAATCAACAGGAAACTCTACTTGACCCAGCTCTTAGGTACCTTGGCATTCATCAACGAAAGCCTACCTACAGTCTCGAGAGAACTGATCATTCCTATAGTATTTGAAGCCTCATCACATCGCCCAAAATTGCAGTTATGCCTTGCTAGCTAGCGCGAAATAGAAAGAAACCATATCCAGTCACCTAACATAAGTTTTAATCGTGATTCGAATTAGTTAAGGGCCTTTGCATAACTTCAATCAGCAACGGATTCTTGATTCATCACATCTTGCTATAGGTAATTTAGGAACTTAAGATATTTAGGTAAAGTGATTGAATAGATTATAAACTATAGATCACCAAGATTTAATGTTTTTCCTAGAATAAGCAGTGTATTAATGATATTTCCATCAATCTGTTGATTCTAAATTCCAATAATAACAAACCCTTCAAATTTATGCTTGAAAGCATACCTTTATCTAGTTTGTAATACTTTATGGAAGTACTATGTGGTCAGAGGTAGTTGGTAGAAAACCCCACCTTACCAAAGTTTCGTGCCGGTTAACACTCGTCAACTAAAACCTACCTTGAGTCTACAGGGAATTGATTATTGCTGTTGGAGCCGAAGCCACTTGCCTACAATCTTGCTCTGTAGAATTCGATCAATACTAAAGACTAAACAAATATGACATGTTTTAATCATTATTCAATAATCAATCATTTGTAACTTTTACAGTTTTCAAAAGGCTTAACAGTGTATTATTCACTTCATATTGTAATGTGATGTGTTATGTATATGGGAAGAAATGAAATGAAAATAACTAGATTGTGTAAATTCGATCTGTGCTTCTTGTTTATCTATAGTTAATCGTTATTACTCTCTTTTAACTTAATTTTTGCATACAGACCACATTAAATAATTGTGCAGTAACATTTGTGGAATTTATTTATTTGTTTAGAAACTTTATTCAATGAACTAGTTTTTAGAAGTGACAAAGTTCTGTTGCATTTTTATCTTAAGGATTATCTGACAATTTTTCTGATCTAAAAAGCAAAAATCATTATACCAAAATCGTCCTTTTTTCAGCACAGGATTGTGAAGATTATCGATTTTTAATGGAGATTATGAGTCGATTAATATAAGACCATCATCGAAAACCTGAAAACACTGGTCGTCTGTTTCGTCTTATTATGGAGCTCCTCAATAATGCGAATCTACGATTCCTCACGCGGGACTCGAACCCAGGACTTTCCGTCTCGTTCTTGTTAATTTGTAACTAGGATTTCCTTATTATAATTGTTATCAATCATTTACTATCAATCCATTGTCATTTAGATTATACTATTCAATCATCCAGTCAAACAATAAAGATGTGTAGTCTCTTCAAATAATCCTATTTTATTACAAAACCCTATATGTGATATGTGTTGTAATTCATTCATTTAATCTATTTTTGATTTCGATCTGATTGTATCGAGTACTTTCAGAGATAATTGATCATTACCTCAATTGTTGTTTAGTCAATTAAATATAATAATATTCTTTCTCCAATTCTTCTGTGTAAGTGGAGAGTACAATAATTTTGTCTATAAGAACTTCTAAAGTTCACGTATGAATATTGCTTTACCACTCAAATAAAGTTAGACCGATTTTATTTATTAATAGTTTTTAGTAGGGGATAGACGCTCTTGAACATTTACTTCAGCAACTATTAATCATTTAATCAAACTTCTTTCTCGTTGGTCAATCCAAACCTTCATACAATGTTTCAATAAAGATTTATTGTAAAAATCGTTAAAGTTATATAAAAATAAAACATTTTTAACTGATGACACCTGATTATTTATCTGAACTGAATGCTGTTCAGTAGTTTGCATCACCGATTGACTTTAGTGAGACAGACATTTCAAACTATAAACTGAACAGCTGTTTCATACCAGTATTGAACTCCTCAACAGTGCGAATCAACGACCCCACTTAAATTCGAACCCATAACCTTCAAGTTTTACAATGAGTGCTAAACCTTTAGATCAATGAATCGGCATCCACTGGAAATTCAACAACCTCTACAAAAACACCTCATAATAATGAATAATATTATAAATAAAGGAACAAAACGTTCAATGAATTAATGTTATCATTCCGGCTTTCACGTTTTTTCGGTTATTCAGTCGTGTTTTTGTTTAATACTTTTAATTTTAAATATTTTTTGACATTCTACTGGAATTTCGATTCTATAAAGTACATAACCCTAATTATCACTTTGTATTCGATTTTCTTTAGTGTTTATTACACATTTAGATTTATTACAAACAGAAGTTAACTTGTCGAATTATAATTTTGATAATTGTTAGGTAGGATCGTTCCGATAGTTGGCTTTTCTTGTATGCCCATCCCGACACAGCAGTAATATCCTGATGGACCTGAACCTAAATATAAATCATGTAGACTCTCTTTAATACCTTGTAATCGTTACTGTTCTTTTCTACAAATTCTTTTTTCTCTAATTACGTGTTTACAGCCTGTTTACTTTGCTGTTGTTGTTGTTGTTATCGCTACATTTTTTTGCATCACATAATCATAAAACTATGTATAGTCTTCCTCTCTCTCTCTCCTTTTACTTTTTTATTTTATTGAACTTTTCATTTCACCAACCGTGTCGTTTTATTTTGGTCAAATAGATTTTATGCGTGGTACGAGAGCAGATAAATCGTATTTTGAAAACCATTCCTATTTCACTTGAAGAATTTGAAAATTCTCTGATAAAATTTAATCCATATGATGTACCATCTATGTGGTCGAAACGAGAGAATCGTCTACGTGTAGATATGTTACATAATCACCCGGCATTAATGTAAGTTTCGTGTTTTAGTTGTTTGATTATTGGTTGATTAAAATTGTGAGTTTATAAATTGGATTTTTTTTGGTATTGTAAGAGTTTGCTAATAATACTCATCAGTAGAAAAAAAGTGTGTTATCACCTTTTGACTCGATTCTTGATAATGTTGATGACGACAAGTGAAATACTGACCCTATCAACTTGGTGTACATAGTACTTCGGCTGGCCTCATTTATAAAATGGTGGTACTTAAAACCCAAACACGGAATGTGTCTGTAAAGTTATACTTCAATACGTTTTATATCTCTTTTTACATGAAACTACACGTTTATCATGATATATAGAAATGCATGCAGAAAATGTACATAGATGAAAGGTGATAATCAACTATATATGGATGTATACAGAATAACCAATATTATTATAGTGACCCATGCAACAGCCATATACATATTGAATTTTATGTTTGTTCTTAAAAGGACTTGTATAAATCTGAGATGCCACTCGTGGTAGGATCGCAAATTTCACTAGGTTTTATTACGTTCCAAATGTACAAGTGGTCTCTATAGATGATATGGTTTATTTATTTCTGGTTCGACAATCCGTTGAATAGCCTTTTTCTTTATGAATTTTTTCAGGGTGCAAAAAATAGGCTGATAATTTCACAGTTGTGTACTTAAGTAAATGATTAGTTCCTTGATGAATATCGGGATGTTTTATTGTAAAGGAGTTGTAACCTGTGGATTCAACCAAGTAGGAATCACGGAACCCATTAAGTGATGTCGATATTTCATGAGATAGCACACACGAGGTTGAAAATCAGATGAAGTGAGGAATGTGAAATAATGTGTCCCGGTTTAACTAGGTCAATAACATCGTGTTCGACGTTTGTTATTATGCCAGTATCTTTCATGTCCGACTTCAGTTTGTCGTATGTTAATTCATTTACTAAGAGATATAAATTCAACTGCTATTAATCATGCTCACCTACACATACTAACAGAACACTTTAGTTGTACTTCCATATATAGAATGCATAACATTTATATAAGTTATTTTGTTATTACTCAATAAAAAGGGCACAACACATTGATCTCATTTACTTTTCTTTGTTTTAAGAGAACTGCACATTTGTAAAACTGTTACTTTGTTCGTTGGGTTTTTTAACAAAAACATATCTATTGATTAGTACATCACACTGAGTATAAACATTATACGCTTAGTGTGAAATATTCTGGATTAATTATTTTCATATAGATTTTTTGCAGAGAAATTATTTGACGTTATTATTATAATCACAAGTACGGAACTTCCTACCGATTGCTTTCAACCACTAACTTTCATCAAAACGTGTAATCCTTACTACATCTAGCCATAATGAGACTAGTAATCATTTCACAACTACACCGATAGAGTTCTATGAAAGCTAAGAAACTAGAGCAAGCATTTTAGTCTTACAAGTGATTGATAATAGGTTAAATACCTTGGTGGTAATATCTCTGGTTATATCACACTAATTTAAACGGGTTCGAATCTCACAGGGAGCATCAGTCTACTCTATACTGAAGGTATATCTCAGATGAATCACAACTAGAATGAAACTAAGGTCCGAAAATCTCTGCCGACTCGCCCCAGTCACAAACTTACATTATTATGACCTACTAAAGTGTAAAGACAATGATGATGGTTTAAAATACGTACATGAACAGGTATCGAAGAAAAAGGGATGTTACAAAACGAATCATCGCTACAGATATTTATCGTTTTAAAACTAACCACATGATAAAATCGTGAAATTCGACTTATGCCATCCTATGTTTACTTTGAATTCCTCATTATTTCAGTTGTCTGATTTGTTCATTTATTTCATCGAAATTTAGTCAGTATACTTATACATTAACCATGATAGAAAAAAGCATTTTCAATCAGTAATTAACTTTCTTTAACATCATCGTTATTATTATTTGGGGAAAATCTATATTTATTTCTTAATTGTGTGGTCTCTTATTTTAATTTTCGGTGAATTTAGTTCCTTGTGGGTCTTGAATTAGAGCTGCAAGAATATTTAAAATGGGTTGGTTGCAGTTAGTTTAGAGGAAAAATTCCTTGAATCGGGTTTCGTGCTAGTTAGCACTCATCAGTAGAGGCGTACCTTCTATTGTAAGGGAACTGATACTCCTTGTGCGACTCATACCCCGCATCACCGGGTTTCTTAATTTGATAAATTATAGACAACATTCTGTAAAAAAGGTTTTCGCCCTTGAACGATCACTGAGGACAGCAGAGTCATGGCTGATCAAATTCTACCGATCATGTTGCAATATAGTTGCTAGTCTTAGCATTAAATATGTGATTGAGTTGTTTAATTAGACAACTCACATCTATTAGATTGCAAGTTTGATTACCGCTCTATTAACTTTTATCCGATAATTCAATGAACGCCCCAGATACATCTATACGACTCATTCGACTAAACGTTTCCGGTGTTTGAAATTGAACTTGGTTGTCTATTCCAATGAATCAATGTTCAGTTCTATTTATCTATTCATTCGATTAATATCAAATGTCAGCGTTCTGACGAACTAAATCGATCACTTTATACTTACCTATGTCATAGTCTTTAGCATTGACAAGATCTTCTTGACCATATTCAGTGTATTCACTAGGCGCCTGATTGTTTGTTGATCGCCATGTGCGGTCACTAATAAGGTTTGCTTAGCGAACGTTTTATAAATTCACCATCAAAAACTCTGATTTCAGTTCATCAAATATTTCCATTAAAACATTAAAAAGACAAGTTGAGCTAAGAAATATTTCTTTTCAATGAGTTCTTCATGGCTATACTCCAATATATATAGCTTTTACAATTAAATATGGAATCAATGCCAAGTAAATAGTGTTGGATCGATTTAATGATATAATAATTTGTTAGTAAAACAACGTCTGGAAAATTAAGATGAATTTTCGTGATCGCTTAGTTATCACAACTAGTTACTGAAGCGTAAGTATGTAAATTTGAGATATAAGTGTTTTTTTTGTGTTATATGTAAGAGTAATAATAAATTATTCGTAAAATGGGTTCAATGATAAGGTAGATAATCATATTGTGCCCTGTGTCCTATTGATGTATAAGGCCAATTAAAGAACAGTGAATCATCGACCGAACCAATGACGCATTAAACAAGTACGAGCAGTCTAGAGTCCTTATCGGTCCTGCTTCCCACCTAGCCCTGTCTGTTAAGTCCAGAACACCAATCCCAGCCTCTGCGATATTAATAATTTATTTCAAACATACTGGGTTTATATACCAACCAAACAGACTACATCGTACCATAAAATAAAAAATAACATTTGTACAAGATTTAGCCAAAATTGGCTGTGAGTGTGTGCTGCGCACTGCTGAGGACGAAACGGCTGTCAAGTGCTCTCAGGTTTTCAATAGTGGTCTAACATCGATCAATTCATGATCTCAATCAAAAGCTTAACCGATTCAACTGAATTATTTTAGTGGTTTGTTTATTTTTAAATGAATAGCTTGTCATATTTTTTTTAGAAGAGCATCTTAATCATTTGTTTTTCATTGATAATATCTTCCTTTTTTCTGAAACTTTACCATTTGTACACATTAATCTGTTTATTTTTCATCTAGAGAATTACGTAACGATGTAAGGAAACGTCATCAAGGACATGTATATGAGAATCGTTTAAATATTTTGTCAAATTCAGCACCTTTAGAATATATCCCATCAAAGGGATCGAAGTTATGTAGTAAAGGTAATTGATTTTTGATGTATTTTACTTATATGTTAGTGTTAACGTGACGTACTACTCGTTAATGATTGCTGGAGAAAAACAATTCATATATGTATGAATGTTTGTACGTATCCATCTACTCATATATAGCCTTCATAAAACGAATCATCACCTACTTGGATTGATTTACTCAACAAATGAATTATTCTGTTAAAGAAGTAATCTTATCAGGGAATCGGAAAGTGATTTCAATCACCCTGTGAATCAACTACAGTTATGCGATACAATACAAGTATTCTGGACTCGTTTGCATGATGAGTTTATGATGGGATATTGATAAAATGTTTACTGTTTCTTGGAGTGTATACTGCTGTAAAGCTCATAAAATTCTGAACATTTTTTGACAGAACAATTTATATCGTGAATATTTTAGAAGTGATTGGGTATAAGATATTTTCTGTAGTTCCAATTCAAAGTTCTTATACGATAAATTTGTCGCGACTTGAGTATCCACGTTCAGATTAAGAACGAAATACAGTGCAATTACCTAGTCCAAATTGGCGAACCAGAACAAATGAAGGAATGACTACATACTGATCGGTTTTATTCAGTAACTACAACAAATTTCAATTACTAGTACAGTGAAGGTTGTTTAGGAGCAATGTTATATATAACTTTCTGAATAACACTAATAAAAATAAATTTCATTCATGGTTTTGCTGAATATCCTCACTGACCTTGAACTCAAGTTGCGGACCGTAAACACCAGATATAACACTGGCTACAATCAGAGCCATAAATATGGTATTGAATTAAAAATGCAACTTTGGCACGGTCGGATAAGATTAATAGTGTCAGCACTTCAGCTCCCTTGACAATATTCATAAATAAGATACAAGAACTTGTTATAAATTTATAGGACATTTTCCCCGATTATCTCTTTGAATTAATAAATCATAATCTAAAGATATTTATTGAATATTCAGATATATCTATTATGAAGTTTTGGAATTTATCGATTATACAAGTCTGGAGTCTATGGGCGATTTACTCGCTTATACTCAGTGAATTACCAAAGCTTCACTTTGATTTTCGATTGAACGTTCAGTATTAAGTAATATTTCAAATAAGTTGACAAACAGTTCTGTAATGAAATGATTTATTGGTATACATTAACTAATCAACATGGAAATGATTGAAAATATGCATATTTCTATAAATCACTAACATACCTAGCCTTCTGGACGTGTGTTCCTTCATTAGCTAAGGTTTGTTCAAGAAACGAAAATCCATCACGAATGAAACAGCTGTTTCACCCTAGCTTGTAACTCAGTCGCTCGAACGATAAACTTTACACAAGTTTAAAATTCACTTCTCGCGGAGATCACCATACTTTTAAATCACTGTACTGGGATTCAGTTCTTAAACCAACTGAAGGGGAATTTGATAAGATGTAATATTTAAATATAAACTTGACTGATAAGATTCGAGAATATAGACGAATATGGAACTCGTTAATTCTAACTGGAAATCTAATGTAAATATCTCAGTCCTATGATAGGTCACTCGCTGCCCAAATGGCACAGTGGTAAAATAGAATGTGAAACTTAGTGACTAAGTTTGGAATCCTAAAGAGAGCATCTATTGTATCAAGATTTTAGGTAGACCTTGTTGATCAATGTCAACTAACACGAAAGCTAGATTCATGGTTTCCAGTAGACTACCTTCAACCACCTAACATCAAGCTTGAAAGTAATCTGGCTATAGAAGTGTGCTAATCTGTGTTAATAATAAAGATAATCATCTTTGTTCATTTTAGTAAAATTGCTCATATGATATATGGTAAATTAGCAACTCAACCATCAAATATTTTTGCTATTTCATTCTATTTACTGTGCACTTAATGTGTACTCATCGTTAAATCAATAAATGTGACCTTGAAAACAAATAATACATAATTCTAACTGCTCTCTTTATTTTAACTACATGAAATTTGACACATGGATGTTGAATAACTGACTTCGAGATCAATAATAATTAGTGGTTTCTAAAGGAAGAAAGCAAAATAAGTTATTTTAGAAAATTACATCAGAGTATTAACGTAATAGTAGTATAGTAGTAGGTGAAGCATTTGAATTTCAACCAGTTAGTTGCGGTTTTGAACCTCCATCCTACTTACTTCATTTTATCTAGCTGCTTAGTGTTGTAGTTTTCATATAAACTATGTAGTTCAAAGATATTTATGAAAATTTGTCCTTGATAAATGAGCTACATCAGTGGACTATATCTCGAAATATTATATACCTTATATGTATGCATCAAATACACAGTTTTTAAAAGATCATAATTTGATTGTGTAAACATTCACCACCAGATAGTATTTAAGTGACTTTTTTGAACAGGAAGAATATCAATATCTAAATTTATTTGGACTAATTACTATTGCTATATTTAAAAACTTCGACCCATGTAAGTGTAGGCACCAAGCAGCAATTCATTTAGGAATTTCTCATCACAAACTGAATTTGGTTAGGTAATAATTTAAGCTGGTAAACGCCGGGGCCTAAAAGTCCCAGATTTGATCCCTAGTGGTGGAGTAGTATGTACGCACCTCAAAAGAATTTCATACTAGCACAAGACATCCAGTGTTCCTCAGTTCCCAGAAGGTACCATATAATAGATCATATGTCTATTTGAAAAGCCACTGCTTGAACCTAGAACATGAAAAAAAGACATAAAAATAACAATAAGCTTTACTTCCAAGGTTAGTCTATGTACAGAAAGCAAGGGTATTTATAACACAATATATCACTTTGGGTTTGTAGAAGCTTCTGAGAAGCGTGCTAAACCTGGTAACAAATTGTTATTTATTCAGTCAGATATTGGTAGCAAAATTCATCGATTTTAAAATCTTTATGGAAGTTTTCACAGAACTGATTAATGTAAGTACTTTCTGTCTTTTTCCGGGTATCTGTAGACATTTTAAAAGTATTATCTAGGTTTCCTAACAGTCCTTATCATGTTATGTTATATAGGCTCGGAAGTAACATTTATATCACTTAGCATATGAGGTGATCTAATCAAACGTGTGGATCACCTAATTTTAAGTGTGACAACCTTTCAGTTAACCTACTATTCTCCATTTCCTTGGACAGAATAACTATATATCATAATTGTGTGTACTCATGAGATATTCTAATAGGCTTAAAAATTATTATTATTATTACTATGGATATTGGAAAACTCAAATGTAAGCACAACAAGACACGAGTACACTGGAATTCATACAACTTATGTATGATCTCTATTGGAAAAGTTATTGTATCTACTAAACTGGTAGAAAACATTGTATGGCAGTTGATGACTATTTGAAACATGCATAAAATATATTATTGATGAATTTCAACTTTGAATGCCTTTTAGACTGAAAATCGTTGCGTTTTTTCACAACTGATGCTGAGGATTTTAACTTTGACAAAGTTTATGGTACAAGTGGTGTATGGAGATTGTAGTGTTTTAACAGTTGAAATCACAAACTGGTCCCAGCTAGACCACTATTTAAAACTCAGAAGCACTGGACGGCCGTTTTTTTAGTACGGTACTCCTCGACAGTGCGCATCCTTAATCCGCAAACGCGCATCGAACACATGATCGGTCTTGCGCGCGAATGCTTAACCTTTAGACCACTGAGTAGGAATCCATTGGTGTCAATGTCTATTTGTTCTTCTTATTAAATCATATGCTTTCTTTTTCTTTAATGAACACAGACAATCAATCATTCACTGTACTCTTGTCACCTGATCGCAAGTCGCTTCTTATAAGAGACACAAACCAGAACATAAGAGAAATATGTAAGTTACTATCGTCAGTTTATTTAGACACTGTGTAGTTATTATTTACACTGTTTTCTTCAGTTCTAATATGATTTTAATTGTAATGAAAATCCGGAATAGGTCGATCAGCCTAGTCAGATGATCTTTAATTTAAAATTAATGAGAATCTGTGTTCCTAAACTGTATGCCTATATTAGAACAAATACACCAGTAAAACAGCTATGTTTGAGATATTATGTTATCACATTGGTATCAGTGTATGTAACATAAACCAGCAACGCAATAAAAGGACTATTCTAAGCTGTTCCTCTATTCCTCTGCTTGTCTAATTAGAGGAAGAAGACTAGGGTCAACAGGGAAAATACATAAGCGAATACTATGACGAAAAGCTGTTTAGGAGTCAACGATAACATAGAGATTAAGAAACAATTTCATTTTTAACATTTCTTTTTGTACATCTTCAAAAGGAATAGATTTATTTGGATATTGAGTCGTATTATGTCGCTTATTGTGAATGCTATCATGTTCGGAATATGTTGGATTCTCAAGAAATAGTTACACTACTTAAAAGCTAGTTAGTAGGGTTGTGAGCAACTAAGCATGCGGAATTTTCTGCGTAAAATGTATATTTTTCACTAAACTTCAATATCAAACAATCTCTCTGATCGATATTCTTAGTATGTGGAACATATAATGTGAACTAATTCGTGTATTTATATTCCACCATGTAATTATTAATGGTTTAATTAGAAGTTCAACCGTAATCATACTATTTCTTTTTTTATCCAAAGGGCAACTAAACTGTATTAGCCGAGTATCTTTGGGTATAACTGAGAAAGTGAAAAAAAATCCGGAACGTGTAAGTATTAATCTGACAAACTATTAGTATATTTTTTTACCAAGTGGAATTTAATCTGTTTATCAATAAAGTTACGAAGTGATTTTTTTTCAGAGAGATGTAACAACAACCTTGAATAGAGATAAATGACTTTGAGGGACTTTAACGCGTTATTAAATTATCAACATATTTAGTGGGTTATCGTTATTCCATTTACAATTCACTTGAATTTCATCAATAAGTAATTGCCATAGATAGAAACACATATATTACATTGACAAATTTCAACAGGATGAATTACAATTGTATCGATCTATACTATTCATGATTTCTTGCACTGTTCTCTTCTACATTAATTCACTACTGGTCATGATTAAATATCTTGAATCTCAGTGATATTTTACAAGTTGACCTTAATGATTAAATTTACAATAAAAACTTGTGCTGCTGAATTATAAAAAGTAGTATTATTCCGAGTGTTCATTTGTGTTCGTCTTTTTTTTCTTAGACATTACTCTTTCAAGTGGAATTATCCGATATTCCAAATCAAGATGATCCCAATGAATCGACAAGTAATAAATCACGTTGTTTTCGAGTTATTTTATTAGCCAGATCAGTAATTGAATATAATTATTGGTTAGATGGATTATTTTTATTAAATAAATTAAATGTAAGTTAATGTTTTTGAAATCTGATTAGATAGAATCTAATTCTGTTTTGATGTAATTAATAATAATAAATCTTTGAATGACCAATAATTATTGATACCCAATAAAATATATTCGTTTGTTTTTCATTGAATTGGTATGAACTTTACAAAGTAATGGAAATGTGAAGTTTGTAGTAGTTGGTATTTGTAACAAAAGATACAGGGGTTTCGAGTGGTGGTTTCGACATTAACACAGATGAAGACATATGGAGATAAAGAATTCTAAAGAGGACAAAACTTGCTTGGTAGATTCCACTGCTAACCGAAACCCAACTATTCTATAATGGATTTATAGTTTTATATCACAAACTATCCATATACAATCACCGGAAACTAGGAATGGTCGTCTAAATATGGTCAGTTTGTGATATAAAGTACAAAGTTGGGTAATCTTTATAAGCTTTTTTAAATTGTTAGTGATGCACTTATTCTGTAAGCATCTACTCTTTTTCTTTCATAAATAGAAATTATAGTACCAAAAAATCCGTATTAAAATCCTATCAAGTTAATTTCTACATCATCGTTTTGTTATATTATTCAGTTATCATATTATATTTTGAATGGTCATTTTGACTGTTACGTAGTCATATGTTTGTGTGGTATTTTATTACAATCAGTTATGAAAGAGTTCTGTATGGAAATGTTTTATGGTGGCCTAAGTTGTGCAGTTTGAAGTTAATGCATTTATGTCAGCAGTTATGCTAACTTGTTAAATGTCAAAATATATTGTTAATCGTTAAACAATTTCTTGTAACGTTAAGTTCGAATCCCTAGTGTTAGAGGGTGGGTTTTTTATAAAAATGGTTGCTATACAATGAGGTCGAGTTGAAATTATTTAACCCCTGTTGTATGCTTTTAGTTATATTAGTGAATCATTTCGATTCCGAAAACTACTTATTGAAGGTAGATTCTACTCTCAATTAAAGAAGATTAATATTTAAGTTCCTTTTGGTAGGAGGCTTCAATATTTCTTCGAGAAAAGTTTTCAAAAGACAGGAAAATGTTTAAAATATTTCCATCAATCTGCATACTTTAGAAACTTTCATGAGAATTTCAGGATGTGTTCCAGAGACTTCTGAAATCTCTTAATCATATACAGTCTTATAAATATCCTTATTTTCTGTATATAAATTAATCTTCAATGTAAAAGCCTTTATTTTTCTGTACAGTGTTCAAGAGTAACAGATCGCTAGAGATTAGGAAGTGGATATATAATCGTTCAACTGGATTGCTTATCATCTTTCACTAAAGGGTTACAAATAATATAAAATGAGATTTTTTATTCCACTTACTTCTAACATTACGGTAATATCACATTGATTATGCATATATATATATCATATGCATTCTTTACATACGTCAAGAAGGACAGAAAGAAACAAAAGAAATGTTACTTTTTGCTTTTATTTCTGAAAATAAAAATCTCGTTTTTTTTCTTTAACCTATTTTTATTTTATTCTATAGAATCCAAGTGATTATTACAATGAAGATGTGGAGCGTTTAACTGAACTAGACATGTGTATACGTCTTTCAAGTTTAGATTTAAATCAGTTGCCAAAAAGAGAAATCGCCATGCCTACAGATCCACCACCACCTTTGGATTTTATTTAATTTTATTATCCTCCTTTTTTTCTTCTTTCAATATTCTTTGTGTAATTATCCACCTTGATTTTAAATAATTTTGGATTGATAGATTAGATTGTTCATTTATTTCATTGTTTGAACATTTAATAAATGAAGGTACATGTAAATTGATTATTTATCATCCAATCATTAATAACTGTGTACGAAATTTATCTCACTTTATTTTCAGCTTATTTGTAAGTAGAAACAAATTGAATTATCTCATTATAATTTCTATTATAATTTCTTAATTATGTATAGTGGAAGCTTAATTATTCAAGTTTTAATTCATATTGTTTGTTTAAGTTTTCTAGAGACCTGAAAAGAATCTTTCTGTCTATTCACTTTATTATATGTAATTCTTTAAGGTTATTACTAATAGTATTTTAATCGATATCATTTCTAATATTCATATACGTTTTGCTTACGAATCATCATTAATCTTGAAGTAGATTACTGAAATCTTGTAATTTTCAATAGTATGATCATCATCATCAACGTCACCCTGTTTGTACTCTGCATAATATCATGACTAATCGCCCTTTTTTTCTGTTAGATCTTTAGATCATTATCATCAATTGGTATTTACCTTCTATCTATATATAACATCTTGGATTGATTCTTATCAATAAGTGATACTTAATAAGTAAGATGCAAAAACAATCGTTCTGCTATTATTTTCTCCTTATTTTTTCTGTTTGTACACACAAAACGAAATGTACAGACAGTGAAATAAACTTAACCACAATTGATTGTTTTACTCTAAAAACAATAACTATTCTTTGTGTGAAAATAAAAATTAGACACCAAATGATGATCGAGATCATGGGCTGTAATCCATCATAAGTACTGAGGTAGGTCTACAATGTTCGCGGGAGATTTACATGACTGCTTAAAATGATTATCCTCACGAATAATTATTTATATCACCTGACTGTCAACTGTATTCTACAAGGCCCGTAATGACAAACTCAAAATGTTGTACATCATCCAATATTAATCCTTTTGACTTTTAAACGCCAAAAATAAACATAATTCATAACTATCAAGAAGAACCAACGAAAAATTTAGTATGGTAAGTCCTTCATCGACCAGTCAGTTTATAGGCTCTAAAATGCTATTTATTGGTATTAATAAATCATTACCTATCATGGTATCTAACATTTATAAGTCATTTTTGGGCCGAAACCAGGCAGCACTCTCTTAGATGGTAACTACTATTGCCGTTTCGGAATTTCTCAGCACACGTTACCTATGACGTATCAGCGCTGTAATCGGATTTCATAAATCCAACGCGAATTTGAGTTACATAATTTAATCTTAACAGTCATAATACGGAAAATACCGTTTGCTGTTGTGTTTTGATATTAAGCTACATAGCTTCTGTTTCCAATCAATAGGGTGAGTAATGAAGAAGTCATGGTTAGTTCAACACAGCAATATAGTGTTATTCTTGATAACACAGCCAAATTCCTGTTATCTATGCTCACGACTGTACAGAAACTCCGTTTAGGTAACAAGTTTAGTACCATGATCCATGGCAACAAAATCCAACTCAAGGCCTCCGCATGACGTTACCGGGTAGTGAGAGCAACCTTGCTAGCTGATTTGGGTGGTTGACGAGATTGAACTAATCCACCATTCTGCTGTAAACCGGATCGAATGGATCCCAAATTTAGGGCTGACTAAAATCTTGCGGGCTACCCGATTTGTATGCTTATGTATATGGATTGTATGAGTCTCGGTTTGTGTAGTTTATGTTTGTAGGTATATGAAAAGGTTAGTTGCATGGATTAGCACAAGGAATGTAATGTTTGCTTTATATCTAATCAAGTCAGCGGCCTAATGCTTCATGTTGAAGACAATAAAAAATATGGTAGCGAATACTACGGCGAGGTGACTATCAACCATCCCTGAGAGGGTGCTTACGCTTATGTCATGAAGTACAGGGCGACAGTCTTTGTACCAGTAATATATATGTAATGTGTAAGTGACAGTCATTTGCAGCATATACTTTCGAAGGGAGTGGTGATCATTTACTCTTCCAGGTGAGTGAATATTTCTATATTTATGCTAAGGGGTGAATGGGTTAAAACATATGTGTTACCGGTGTGCATGTAGATTATACTTTCCCCTGGTACGAAACCTGCGCCCCAAGACCTGGGGATAACAATTTTCCTGTGAAATCACATCCACGCGATTAGTTTGTGAACCTTGCGAAACGGAAACCATTTCCAAAAAAGCCAATTTGCTTTACCGTATAAGGCTAGACCAAACTTAACAAAACTGGAAAACCTTACCGTACCATAATACGTAAGTAAAAACACAGAGATAAGTGCTGTGGTAGGGTAAGTATAAAATCCTAGCAACTAATTAAATATTTACTAAACTCATGCAGCATAAAAATAAATAGAAATGTATATTAATACAAGAGGAACGTTAAATATTTTGTTAAAATGTAAAACGAATTTAAATCAAATGGTAAATTCTAACATTTTATAGATCACGGTTGTGACCAATGTTTAGAAAATTAGAGATATATGGCTTTTTCATAAATAAGAAAGTGATATCAACAGCAGTGTTATAACTTGTGATTTATCGATGTCTCCCAAACAAAATCTATACAGATTCGATGTTAGATAGAATTTCAAATGGATAGGCTTTACATGAGTGAAGCATATTTGAACTGACCCTAAAAAACCACGATCTGGTTAAAATATCTTTGTTATCAGTCGTATCCATTGCTAACAGAGACAGTCAACTGTTTTATGAGCAGACAATGTACAGTGACAACTAGAGTCCTCATAATCAAACAAAAAACAGAAGGATTGATTCGGAAAGGACTACTTCTGTGACTTCTTTGGAATGGAAATGACAGGCAATAGGTCGGAACAGCTCTTCTTCAGAATATAGTCCGATGACGGCTCACTTAAAATAACTAGTTCAAAAGACCGTGCAGCAATAATGACGAGTTACGAAGTGATATCGTGCAGTAAAATAATGTTGTAGATATATCAACTGATTACGTATGATAAAGCAAAAGTGAGAATTAAGTAGGTTACCATTATTATTTGAGAATGAAAAATAACTTGTAGTTCGTAGTAAAAGGATTTAACTAAGTATTAACTAAGTATTTAGTACAGTTGCGAGTTATAGAATTAATTAATTGTAGTGATTTTAATTGTGTACAAGAAAAACTAGTGTATATTTGTCCTAAAATAAATTATTTGATTCGAGTATAAACCGATTCGACCATACATATAAAGAGACCAAACTACATTATAGGTTATGTTTTAATGCTTCTTTGGAATGTAAGTGATTCAGCGAATCGTGGAATGTCGAACAGTATTGCAAGTTGCGCTGACGCGCTAAGCACAAGTTATTACAAGCGCCACAGCAAATCCCAACTAACGTATCTACCGATTTTTCAAATGCAGTGTCACCTTGACTTGCAGATGTACGTCAAATGAAACATAATTGAACGTGTACGACATAACTTATGTACCCTTATCAAATCAAGATTAATTGGATGTATTAAATCTACTGTGTGAATGTGAGACGATTGTGATAGGAAAGGATTTCCTTCTACATGACAATGAACTGTATAGATTTTTCTAGCACCTAGAATCTTTAATTACTGAACAGTTGTCTTCATTAATTTCTTGATGGTATATCCAAAGTCTTCGAAGTTTAGGTTTTCTACAATAGAACCGTCTTTATGTTCGTGTTGAATATTATGACATTGATGTCGGCTGACAGTCGATTAAAGTCTCGGATGTCCTTAAGCTTTAAACGTCTATCCCTGACTTACCAATCATTTTTATTACCTCGACACCAATTCCCCCTTGTTTATCGATGATGCTTGGTGCTTAGTCTGGTATGTTCCTGGTCCCTTTACTTTCCCTCTCTTAATCTTTAAGATGATCATGTTAACTTATTTTATTATTGGTGAAGTAACATCTATGGAAGATCTGTGTGTACTACCTCGATGTCACGTGGATTCAGTAGGATTGGTCTGTAGCGTGGCGTTGAGAGGAGATTGACTATGAACACCGCTACCAAGAAGCTCGTTCCAAATGACTCGATAAAATCCCCGAGAAGCCAAATATCAGAAGGTAATTAATGGACCAAGTCGAGATGTATTCGCTGGCGATCTCGTGGCATCGAAAGGATACCGAGATCGTACCAGGATACAAGCTTGGTTACAGAACGTAACCGAATTCGTTCGAAGTTACAATCGAAGTGTGTGAATAAGAATGGAAGCACAATATATCTGTCATTAGCACAGTCAAACAAAAGCACATTAAAACAAGCACTGGTACATTTGGTTATAATAATAATTGTTTTTATTAAACCAGTCGTGTTCTCGTGATAAATGTGAGTCATTACAAGTCTATCGATGAGTTTGTAGCGACCTACTTTTATCAAGAGAACGCGATTACTTTAATGGAAATAATTATTATTATAACCAATTGTACCAGTGATTGTTTTACTGTACTTGTTTGTTTAACTGTACTAAAGACATTCTTCTTTCTTCCGTTGATTGTGACTTTGCGCGAATTCGGTTACGCCCAGTAACCACACTTTTAACCTGGCACAATCTCGGTATTCTTTTGATACCACGAGATCTCCAACAAATACATCTCGACTACAGCCACTAACTGCCTTTTGATAGTTGACCTACGGGGGATATTATCAGTTAACTGGCACGTAGTCTTCCTATAGTGGTGATCATAGTCAACTGTGACTCGACACCACACTACAGGTTCTTCAAAACGCTCTACACACCTTTTTTTTAAAATTTCAGTGACTAGTTTGTCTTCTTTATTCTTTAATGTTATATCTGTTTAACTGCTATAGCTTCTCCTTCGTTTCATTTTAGTGAACTTGAATTTTTTTGTCATGCAGCGTTTTTACTGTCATTGCTAGGTATTCGACATATTTCTGCTTAGCAGCCCTAATGCTCCCTTTGTTTTCTTTCGTTCGGC